GAGGCAGTGAAGGACAGGAAGGCCTGACGCAATATGGTTCATGGGGTCACGAAGAGTCGGACACGACTTAACGACTAAACAACAACAAATGCATGGCAATAAAGCCCGTCGATCCAGGCGTTTCTGCTTAATAATAATAATAATAGTAATAATAATAATAATATACTTGCTTTTTTTCCTTACTTATTCCACTACCGTTGGTCGGACTCGCTCCATTTTTTCACCAACAGGAGAGGGTCTCTCTGTAGGGTCGCCCACTGCTAGTGATGGAGCTGAGAATTTTAATGCTCTTTTTTTTAAGATCAGGTTCCAGCAAAAGTCTGCTTAAGCTACTCCTTCAAACCTCTTTCCCATACAAACCTCTCACTCGCATTACACTCAAAGCATTCAATGCCTCTTGCAATCAGCCCCGCTTTAAAATATTTAAAAGCGGGTTTTTAAAAACCATTCGCACCAGCCCCGAAGATCTACGCCAGAAAGAAAGAACCTGCCTTTTACTGTGTGCCTCTGTTATGGTCGTTTTTTTCCGACGACAACACTCAACAGCCCTCGATGGAGTAGGAATAGGGAACATCCAAAATGAACCCGGAAGCTGGGAGCTGTGGGTGGCTCTAACGACTCAAAGTTTACGACTTTGTGTCAACGATCTTTCTACTTCCGAGAAAATGGCGGCGGTGCGGAGAGCCGCTTTGGCCGCTCTTGCCCGCTGTGGCGGGGGGCGCGGGGCGCCCGTGGTTGGCGGCTTCCGGAGCCGCAGGCGCTGGATGAGCCCGTGGCTCGCAACCGCCTCCCTGCTCGGAGGTGGCGCCTTGGTGGGCTCCTACCGAGGATGGAGCGGGCAGGAGGGGGCCGGCGGCTTCTTCCTGGTCCTGGCTCAGGTGAGTGGGGAAACCCGCTGTGGAGCGCCTGATAATCATTCAGTGGCACTGTTAGTGTTTGTGGGAAGAATGATGGGGGGTCCTCTAGGGGCTTCCTCCTGGGCATCACCATTCAAGTTCTCTCTTAGCTCGCTTTCTCCAGGTGTGAAGGGCTATAGCTCCCATCATCCGTGACCAACGTGGTTGCTGTAGCGGGGCGATGCTGGGAGTTGGAGCGCAGCACTTACGGAGAGGGGCGCCAGGTTCGGAAAAGCTGACTGACTATGTGCCATCAAGTCGTTTTCTAATCTTAGATATCACATAGAGAGATGCTCTCCATGACGATCTGTCCTTAAACTGGTCCTTCAGGACTTCCAACGGTATTCCCATCACTGCTCCAATTGAGTCCATCACCTGCTGGTTGTCCTCTTCTTCTCTTTCCTCCCACCTTTCTCAGCATTAGAGCCTTTTCCAGAGAGCTGGGTCTTTGCATAATGTGTCTGAATTAGATGATTTGAGCCTGGTTATTTGCACCTTGAGGGAGAACTCTGGGTTGATTTGTTCAATGATCCATCAATTTGTTTTCTTGTTGGTCCACAGTATATTCAGGAGTCTTCAACACCAAAGTTCAAAAGCATCAATACTCTTACTATCATGCTTCTTTAAAGTCCAATTTTGTTTCCATAGAGTGTCACAGAGAATACCATGGCTTGCATAATCCTGATCTGTGTAGATATTGACACATCACGGCATCTGAATATCTTTTCCAAGGTCTTTGTGGCTGCTCTATCAAATGCTAGTCTGCAGTGTATTTCCTGACTGCTTGTTCTTGATCCTAAAAGGCAGAAGATATCTACCACTGAAATATCTTCACTGTCACTTCTAAGCCTGGTTGTTGTATCTGTTGTCATTAGCTTGGTCTTCTTTATATATAATTTTAGTCCCATTTTTTTCACTGCACTCCTTGAGTTTTATTACTAGAGCATGCAGATAGATCCTTTTCATTTTCAGCTCTCAGGGTAGTGTTATCAGCATAGCACAGGTTATTGATGTTTCTTTTTCCAGTTTTAAAACCATGCTCATCTTCTTCCAATCCAGCTTCCCTTAATAGACATTCAGCATATAGGCTGAACAAATAAGGGGAGCATATACAGCCTTGTTGCACTCCTTTGCAAACTTGGAGCCAGTCTCTTTTGCCATGTTCTGTTTGTACTGTGGCTTCCTGACCTGTATGTAAGTTTCTCATGAGGACAATGAGATGTTCTGGGGCTCCCATTTATCCAAAGCTGCTTGTACTTAATTTCAGGAAGGCATTTTTCCTCTTTTTTTCTGTTATACTGTATGTCTTCATGTGGTTTGAAGGCCTTTTTCTTGGATCTTCTGTGGCATTTTCCTTTTCCATGTCATCCATGATTCCACGTCATTAAAAAATAAAAGTCTCTTCAAGTCAAGCTTATTCTTTTTTTCTTCCTCCATTTTGCTATATTTTACAAAATTACAAGCCATAAACAGAATACAATAATTCAAAAGGTAACCAGTGAATCAAACAATAAAATACTAAAAAAAATTAAATAGAAAAAAGAATAAAGAACCAACCAAATAAAAGAATCTAGAGAAAAATTTAAAAACCCAATACTAAATATCTAAAAATATATATTAAACATGTAAAAATCACTTGTTTACGGAAAATACCTTATAATACTATCAGAGAAAGAGAAAAAAACCCTCTTAATAATAATAAAGGTTGACTCCTGGTAACTGCATGGCATGTCCATGTTGTTCTTTTAACAACAATACAGAAGTGGTTTTCTATTGTTTTCTTCTAGGATTTTTTTAGCTCCCAGTCTAGCCTCCAATCCTAGGATTTCTTAGTGGTCTCCCATCTAGGTACCAACCTACTTAGCTTTTTTGATATCAGACAAGTTGACTAGGTAGGGCTTTTCAGCACTGATATGCTTTCTAAGAGACAGATAATTTGCAACACAAAATGTGATCAATTAAATCAGAATGTCTTGAAGGAGGAATCATAGTACAGTACAAAAACTGAGCCTGATTAAAAATGAAAAACTAATTCTAATGGAATCCACGCGCAATGAGTGTGTGCCAAAACAATATAGGTAGTCCTTGAGTTATGACCAATCATTCAGTGACCCTTCAAAGTTACAGCAGCATTGAATGAGTGGTACTTATGACCAGTCCTTGAAATTCCAGCCTTTGCAGCAGCCCTGCAGACACATAATCATGATTCAGGCAGTTGGCAACCGGCTCACATTTACAACAGTTGCAGCGTCCTTTGGTCACATGATCACCATTTGGGACCTTCCCTGCTGGCTTCCCACAAGCAAAATCAATTGGGAAGCTAGCAGAGAAGTTTGTAAGTCACTCCTGTAAGTCTCTCCTGACACTTTTTCTCCTGAGCAGCCTTGCTACAGAGTATGAGATCCCAGGGATCTTATACTCCATAGCACCCCCACCCACTGCAGCACTGCTTGCACGCAACAGCACTACCTACCTACCCACAGCCCCCGCCCACCCACTCTCTGTAGCGCCCACCCGCAGCTCCCACCGACCTGCCCGCACTCCATATTTCCTGCCTGTGGCACCCTGTGGCACCTGCGCACCCCAATGCTCTGTATCACCTGCCCGTGGCACTTCCCCACGCTCCTTGCCTGGGATTCCTGCCTCTTCCCACTTAACGATCCGCATGGTCCTGGGATTACAATAGCAACCAGGACTGCTGGGATTGCTGTTGCTAAGCGATGCGGTCACATGACATCATGGTTTACAACAGCATCGCTTAGTGACAAAAGTTCCAATCCCAGTTGCGGTCATGAGGACTGCCTGCATATAGACTATTCCTCCTTGCTTTGCTATTCTATTTCTTGTACAAAATTTCAGGAAGAATGGTTGGTTTGTGTTTATTAGGGTCACTGACTACTCAAAAAAGATTTGAGTAGATTGATTCACCATGACCCTTTGTTGTTCAGTTAAATAATCTTTATGCTTTAAGCAAAGCACTAGCAAAGTATTTCATTGAAGTAAATTTTAGTAAAGGAACATTACAAAGGTTTGTTACAGAAAAACAATTTAACTTGTTTTCCTGCTGTACAGTAGTCCCTTTGTACTATACCAGAATGAACTTACTATAAAAGTAAACACTTTTGTAAATTGTAAATTACATCATGTTAATGCAGTTTTATTGGATTAGTTGCTGTAAAATTAATTGAATTGATTGCTGAAATGTGTTTATGCAGGAATAATATATAAGAAAAATGCTTCTGGTACAGGAGGATGTATAATGTTCTGGAAACAAACACATGACATTTGTGATTTTAAAACATAATTTTTTCTGCCACCTTTGATTAAAAACATGGAAACTTTTGAAGTTACTTCTCTTTCCAAATAGTAAGGTTTCCTCATTTCTTTGGGAAAGTAAAATAGAAGACTTTCCCTCACTAACCAGGAGAGTCCCTGGATCTCACTAGAGAATATTAAAACACCCTATAAAAATAGAGCCTAGTTGCATAAAGAATAAAGATAGAGTGATGGAAAGCTGCTGCTTCAGAACTTAATCACAGATAACTTGAAGGCCATAAAAAGCTGCTTTTCTCATTCCTTGAACATCTAAACTGTCCAAGGAATTGGGTTTTCTAGAGTTCCTGTAAGGATATTTAGGATAATGTATATTACGTATATTGAACACTTTAAGTGTATTAATATCTCTATCCATATCATTGAAATCATATCAAATTTATTACAGTATACAGTTATGCTCTGGATTATTCAATTATGATAATTTCACTGATCCTCTTTGTCCCTCATGTACTTTAGATCTTTCCCTTTTTAGAGTTTTGGGTGAAGATAGTACGCCAGACTTCTGGGATGCTCAAAATAAATGTTATTCTTCTTTGTGGATACTGTATAGCAATAAGCACAGTCATTTTCCAGTATTGCTGAATACCAAACATAGTGATACTTTATCTTTAGCACTGTATTTCCAATATCAGAGTCACAGTAATGTACTGCAGAAGATTTTGAGATGGGACACTTCTATCAAACATCTGTTGTTGGCTTTGACTTAATGTTTATTTTCAGACAGCTTGCAATCCTCTGAATTAACATGCCACTACATAATGTGCTTCTCTCATTAACCAAGTTCAGTTTTGAATGCTTTGTCTTTATGGTTTATTTGTTTGAACCTAAGCATTGAGCTCAACCTGTTCTTCAGTACTATTGATTTGTTTTTGCTTTTAACAGTCCTTCTATAATCTATGTATCAACTCCACCTTCTAAATCAAATTATATCAAAGTGCTCCAGTTTTCTCCTCTGGATATTAAAAGCTCAAAGCTTAGAAGTTTTTTAAAAAATAAAGCCCTGCCTCCATAGGTGTATTGCTCTTTCACATGTTTTAAAGATTATTCTATTCTTTTTATATTAAATACATTGTAGAAATTATTACTAATTTAACAGTATTGTTTATTTAATCAATTTATTAGCCACCTCAATCACCAGAGCAAGGCAATATGTAAAAATAAAGTAATTTAGACAGGCTAAACTGAAGTAATGGTGTCATATGGGCAAAATGAGATACGTACATACTAGTCAAACCTCACATTCTATACCTGCTGAAGCTTTCAAGTGGTCTACAAGGGTAGCCCCTTGTAGGCTATATTGCAGTAGTCCAAATGAGAGGTGACTAAGGCATGAGTGATCATGAGAACAGCCCCCCAATTCAGAAATAGACATAACTGGTACACTAGATGTTTCTTTGCAAAGGCTCTATAAAATTTATTTATGTTTTATCATTTTATTTTTTCCTTTTACTTGCCAGTAATGTGCATAGCTGTCTTATACCCTGAGATTAAAGGGGGCAATAACAGATAAATGCCAAGTGAATACAGAACTATTCCATGCTGCAATATATTTCATAGGAATGAAATCAGAGATGGGGAATCTTTAGTCCTCCAGACCTGAACAGCAGATCTGTGATACTTCTCTGTTGGCCATGCTGTCTGGCAGC